TTAGTAACTTAACCTATTTATTAAAGTTAGTAGGTCTAGAGAGCTTAATCTAGTTAGTAACTATACTACTAAGCTTTATAAATACTTTATAGTAAAGAGTAGTAATCTTTTCTATAGCTATCTTCTTAGCGTAAGTAGACTATTTCTTAAAGTTAGATAAGAAGTTAGAAAAGAGGCGTATACCTATAACTAGGTTATTAAATTTAGTATTAGCCTCTAGTGTCTTATTAGTACTAATATAGACTTAGTCTATATTTATAAATAGATTTAAGATTATAGTATAGAGCTATACGTTCTAGTTATCTAGATTATCTAGAATTATATTAAGGTTATAGTAGTAGCGCTCTATAGTATTACTAGTAAGAAGGTTTATAGCGTATAGAAGATAAAATAGGTCTATATTAAAGAAGGCGCTATCTATAGCTAAGACTAAATAAACTCTTATCTTCTAATTCTTATATTTCTATTACCTAGTACTTAGATCGCTCTTACTATTAAATTTTAGCGAGTTATTATAATTCTATTAATAGAAGTTATAGAGATTAGTAGGTAGAGAGGCTTAAAGAGTAGTAGCTATAGCTTCTATAATATACACGCGCTACTCTACTACGCGTAGCTATACTTAAAGAGTAGAGTATTTAGTAGTAATAGTATTATAGTTAGCTTAAAAAGTCTAGAACTAGTAATTAAAGCTATTCTTAAAGTTTCTAAAGATATTATTAAGAGTGTTCTTTATTACTAAGACTTTCTAGTTAGTATTAGCTTTGCTAATTATAACTAGTAGCTACGTAGAGTCTTACTATAGGCCTCTAGTTTGCGTAAGTACCTAGAGTATTAGAAAGTTAAGAAGGTTTATAGCTAGAGTTTCTACCTAGTTCTTCTTCTAGATATTACTTATAGTATCTTAGTTTCTAGAATTATAGAGTAGGTTTCTTTAGTTATAATTTAGCTAGGCTATATAGTACGTAGTAGAGCTAATAGTAGAATTATATAAACTATTATAGCGTAGATAAGAAATAAGAATTTAAGATATATAATAAGTTATATAATATTAAGCTATAAAGATACAAAGACGTAGAGTAGATATCTACTATACTAAGGCGCTAAGGTAGCTAAGGTTATATAACTAAGCAGGTAGGTTAGTGCTATAATATAGTTAAATACGTATAGCTTTTTAATTACGTAATATATCTTAGTATAACTTTACTATAAGATATAATATACTATAAAGAATATATATATAAAGTTTTATAGAAAAATATTAAGGTTTTACTTAGTTATTTAAGAAAAACAGGTTAATTTTCGTTAATTTTCGTTGCTAAGAGAAAGTAACTAGCTTGCTTATATAACTAGCTTGCTTATAAAGTACGTTATTATATATATAATCTTATTTCTCTTTAAATCTAGAGAGATAGAAGTTTATTAATTCTATTCTTAGTTCTATCTATCTTAAGTATAGTACTTATAAATACGCTTCTAAGATATAATATAGAGAGCTATAGTATATTATAAACTTAGCTCTAGATTCTATTATATAGTCTAGAGCGTAAGCTATAACGTACTTTATAAACGAAAGCTCTACATAAACAAAAGCTCTACGACTTCTTAGCAAGAAAAATTAACGAAAATTAACCTGTTTTTCTTAAATACCTAAGCAAAACCTTACTATTTTTCTATAAAACTTTAAATATATATAGAGCTATACTATATACATCTACTATTAAATTTGCACTATATATCTTCTATTACGTAAGCTTAAAATAAGCCTTTCTCTAAAATTAACTATTCTTAGAGTTTAAACTCTATAGGTACTAGTAAACCTTAATAATAAACTATAAAACTTTATAGATATATTATATACTATAGTATAAAGACTTCTATAAAGTTTAGTAGCGTTTAGCTTAGAAATACTAGAGATATTAGCATAAAGAGTCTCTAAAAAGAAGTTTAGAGATTTCTTCTAGAAATAGATAGATATTCTAATAAATATACTATATTATCTTTAGAATAACTTTATACTATAGTATATAATATATCTTTAAAGTTTTATAGATTATTATAAAGGTTTACTAGAACTTATAAGGTTTAAACTCTAAGAATAGCTACTTTTAGATAAAGGCTTATTCTAAGCTTACGTAATAGAAAATATATAGTATAAATCTAATAGTAGGTGTATATAGTATAGTTCTATATATATTTAAATTTTTATAGAAAACTATTAAGGTTTCGCTTAGTTATTTAAGAAAAACTCGTTAATTCTTATACTTAGTATTTTTAGAGCGTTCGTTTATCTAGAGCGTTCGTTTATCAAGTACGTTAGTACCTTAATTTATTACTAACTTATATTATTAAGTTGCTTAATTAGCTTAAGAAAGGTAATAAGATAATAGCGTATTAGCTAGTACTTATAGAGTCTAAAGTTACCTAGCTTTAAGTAGCTAACGTATAGAAAAAGAAGTATAATTTACGCAAAAGAAAGTAAATTTAGAAAGGGGATACTCTTGTAATTAAAGCTAGCTTATAGCTAGTTGCTTAAAGAGAGGCTGCGGATTAGAATAAGGGCAAGAAGCGGCACGAAGAGGTAGTAGCACGCGACGGCTAGCTAGCTTAGCGACGCTGTGGACGCTGCGGTAAGCTAGGGCACAACGCGCGAACGTGCTAGGTAGTTAAAGACGATACAGATAAGTCGGATAGCTTATCTAGATTTATCTTAAGCAGCTTAGAGTTAGAGCAATCTGAATAAGATGGTGGCATTTGGTGGGGGCTTGGCATTTTTAGGGGGTTTGGTGGTGAAGTACGTTAGTTATTTAAGAAAAACGGGTTGATTTTCGTTGATTTTCGTTGCCAAGAAATCGTGGGCGGTTCGATGATATGGGCGGTTCGATGATAAAGTACGTTACCCCTCTACTTAGGGTTCTTCTCTCTAAAATAGGGGTCTTTCTTTATGTATAGGGGCCTGCAGAGCCCTATCTTAGGGGGATAACCCTAAAATAGGGGGCAAGAGAACCGTAGTGCTACGGATCTGCGTCAAAGATCCTGTTACAGACTCGGATGTTCTCTACTTACTTCTCGACGTTTTCGAGCACGCCGCACTCCGGTAGCTTCGGCAGCCATCCAGGCCATCCTGTCGACTTTTCCGTCAAAAGAAGCGAAAGTCTTCTTTGAACATCGAGCGAACGGTGTGCTCCCAACTCAGAACGTCAGCTCTACCTATATACGCTTCCCTCTCCCGTTCCCAAGATCTCGCCGCGCATCTGTCACAGATCGCGCGCCCCGGCGCCAAATAGGAAGCTCCGGAAAAGTGGACATTGCATGCACTAAACTGCTTCACTTGGCAGGTCGAACCCTTCTCTGCGACCATTTGTCGTATCGCGGGCTTGGCACAGCATCAACCCCTCAGGCACAGCTGATATCCTCACCGGTAGTCAGCACGGAGTGAGGAGACTATCGCCTCAGCTGAAACTTCGATTACGGCGGTCTGCGTCCTCAGCTAGCAGAACCTCCCTCTCTCACCGCATCTTTCTCCAGCTGCATATGGTATTGAGACCTCGCTGAATCATGAATATAATAGGTTTTAGTTCCTGGGCGGCAATTGTCAACTACATGCACCGGTATAAAGCGCATTTAGAGCCTTATACCTTATTGTGAATTTGAAACAGCCGAAAGAAGAAAGAAGAGTTGTATCGTGTATCTCTTTAAATTAGTATTTAATCCCGCTTCCGCTGTGGAGAGGGGTGAAAGGAAATGTTGGAGGAGAGGTAGAAAAGCGCTTTTATACGTACTCCAAGTCTTCAAAACAATTCGCAGGCATGGAGATGCTGTTTAGGGAGCGCATGCCTTCCAGCGGGAAGAACATTTGGTTGTCGAGTTGGGGCACGAGATGCTGTGGGTGAACCATTGAGCCGAGAAGGGATGGAAACATGTCATGGATGCTGTACAGTTTTAGTACCGAGCTTCATACTAGGAATTGAAACTACATTTCCGTTCAGACAAGACACCAACATGGAGATTCTCTTGCTCTGTTTAGGGCCTCTGCAAGACTATATTATGGGAGAGTGGAGAGGAAGAATAGCTCTGTGGGGGCGTTTTATAGGCAAGGAGCGGCCGCGTAGCGTAGTAAGCGGATCGCGAGGCTATGGCGGTAAGCGTTCTTCATCGTCGCGCAGAGCCCGCGATCGAACTGCTCGAACGAAACGCGGCATTTGACGCACACATGAGATTTACAAGAGCGGCCCGACGCCCGAAGCATGTCGAAAGGTTGTCGATGATTTTAGATCTTAGGAACATCTTCAGCCACATGCACAGGTACAAGGGGCATTTAGAGCCCCATGCCTCGCAGTAGCACAGCGGTGTGGAGAAGAAAGAAGAGTCGTGTCGCGGAGAAAGAAAGGCATTTATATAGGCCAGCATGGACTTGACGCGGACCAGACGACACAGCGGATGTATGCTGTTTCGACGTTGAACGAGCGAACGAGGTGCGCAAACCGCAGCTAACCATTCTCTTGAATCACTCTACCTTTTAAAGATACGTTCGGCTATCTCTTTTCTAACAGACTTTTGCCCGCATTTACGTAGACACTCTTCGTATCACGTTCCTTTAAATTTATTTCTCTCTTTTGCTACGGTCGGCCTTGTTACATTGTTAATACCATGGATATAACAGAATCACGATTATTAGCTTAAGTTTTCATTCTGTATTTCTACATTGTGCATCCATGAAAATTTATAACTCGACTGTTTCATTTTCTAACCTAGCCTAGAACGACATCTGGAAGACGATGATGCCAGTGACAATTTCCGAGTTGTCGATGTTTGCTGCGGACAGCCTATTTCCGTGTATGAAGAAACGCAACTACCTAGCCAACTAAAGTAACCGATAATTTGAAAGCATCAGCAGTAGTGTATACCGCCCTTTTCAAGGTCGCATTAACTCTACTGTTTGTTAAGACCGCTCTCTCACCAAGCATGTTGTTTCGATCCTCGTTATACGCTGTATGGTGGTGGGAGGATGGTGTAGATGGTTGGCGGCTACACCTGCGGCTTGCTCGATGGAGACTTTGTCACCGTCGCCGCAGCAAGCGTAGGTTCGAATCCTGCTCCTCTCTTAACTTTCGCCTTTAACGCTGTAGAATTTTCGTTGCTAGATAAGGATCCTTCTTTAAAAAGGCAAAGATAGACATGCAGATTAACATAATAAGGGGTAGCGACCCGCTCCTTACATAATGTAGCTTTAAATTTAAATAACAAAGGCAAAAAGAGGGAGGTTTTTTTATCACTTCGCGTGGTTTTCCTTTATCTGCCCTGCAGGAAGAAATGTAGAATAGTTGCATAGCTTTCAAGAAGCTAGGTCAATTCAATGATTTCAAGCTAAAAGCTGTATGGTGGTATCAGCCTCAGATGTTCTTTTTGCACCTCCCGTCCGCAATTGCTGCAAGAAGACGTGTAGAATTTCGATTCCTCCCATTGTTTCTTGTTCATATACGGATCGCCGGAGAGGATATGCACCCAGAGTGGGGTAAAGAAAGTCCCAATGAAGATAAATATAAGTATCGCAGGGCACAGGCCGTACTGGAAGCGAGCAAGAAGCGACGAGATCTGAACCAACAGATAGGTCGTGGTGATTTGGCGGTCGAACGGGCTGTGGAATTCCTCATTTCGGTGACACAAGGAAAAGAGGCCCTTCGTGATAGACTTCTCTGAGCTAAAAAGAAGTCAGTGCCTCAGAAAAAGGGGTGCAGGGGGCTATAGTTATGACTTACAACGGTGCGCTGTCGCCCTCGATCCCAAAACTCATTTCTTTGTCCTCGATGAAGATCACATGCGATTTCATCCTCGCGTACGTATAGATACCCAGGACGAAAAACAGGATCAAAGTAAGAATTTCCGAGTTGCTGACGTTCGTTGATAGGACACCGGATTTCCACCTCATCCATGCGATGCGCATTGAGTTATCCACAACGTGAATGTACGAAAGACGAGTCGCGATATCTTGCCACGGCCGGAAGTAGGGCATGTACTGGAGAAGATCGTCATATACCTCAGGGAAGTCATCCGTATTGGACGTGAAAGTCCATAGACGTGTGCCTATCTTGTCGACAATGGTGCGGGATTCCTGGATGCATCAGTGAATCATCGAAGGACCAAAATGTAAAGACCACTTACCGGACGGAAATTGTAGTCGTCATATGTTCCTAAGTATGAGACCCACCACCACATACTCTCCACCAACCACCACAGCCACAGTGGCCTAGCCGGTGAGTTCCAGCAAAAAGGAAGGAAGTAATAAGCGGGTGCATCGACATAGGTGGTGTATCCAAAGAAGGAAGTGAGGCAGTAGATGGCCAACGTGATGACGAAGTGAATGTAGAACGTAACACGCTTGAGCTTCTCTGGGTGGCGACGATATAGAATCGTAGAAAGGAGCACCGTTGAGATCAGAGCGGCGTAGATGTACGGGCGCGGTTGTTCGAGGAAAGCGCCGATGGGGCACTCCGAAGTGACATCCTCGAGCACAGCTGGAAAGGACCAAACGCAACCCGCGAACTGAGGCGCATACGCGTAACGCACGCAGTTGAGGATAAGCCAGAAGAGAGCGAGAGGACCCCAGACCAGAAGATGGGTATGGATCTCGTGTCGATAGCGGTTTGTTGTACCGAGTCCCGATGCATCCGAATTCGAAGCCATGCTGCGTACTCGAGGCAGGTTTAGTCTGTCGGGCTGGGTGTCGATGGAGAGTCGAAACTGGAAGAACTCGAAACAGCAGTGGGGTTTATAAATGTGCGGATGCTTGGACGCAAGCAGTGAACAAAAGAATCGTTCTCGTGAAGTCTTGGACTAATCGCTTGTAACGTCGGTAAAGGGTGAAGTCTAAAGTGTGCATATACTATGAGTTGAGTCACTTCTGCCGAGTAATGCATGTTCGCCTAACATGCTGGCCTATAAAGCCAACCCCCCTACCCCCAAACCCACCTCTCCCCAAAAGCTTCGAGTTGTTACTAAGTGTTTCCGCAACAGAGAAGAGTGACAGAGTTGGTGGAATACAAGTTGATTATAGAAAGATCAGATGGGGACTGAGTTATCGACACACAAGTGCCTATTCTATACATGAAAACGTGGTACTTTGCGTTCCTTCAATGCAACGCTGATTGAGAGATAGATCAAAATTCTTTTCCAGGCCTTCTATCTTTCACAAACCCAGAGCATGCCACCTGCCTTCCAGACAGTAAACTTGGTGCATCCCTAAACCGGCCGGTATAGATGAAAGAGCAAAGGTAGTCGAAAAGAAGCCCGAGAGAGTGAGAACGAGGACTCAACGAAAATTTCAAGGGTAGCGTAAAGCGCTGCTGTCGCGGTGGTGTATCCGAGGCCAAACGTATCCATTTCCTTGTCGACGCCGTGAGCCTTTCCACTGACATCAATGATTTGTCTCGCGTGAACCGCCCTAGTTGGCTCTCGATGGCATCATTCGAAAGTATGACGGCGCGGTCTCGAGGTCCACTGGAGCGTCGTATCTGCACGACAACGGCGACGACGACATCTTTGCAGCAATGATCGTCGATCGCACCGGGGCGTCAGCGATCATAGCAGATGCTCATTCGCTCTTGGCACGGTGTGAAACCAGTTCATACACCAGGTCACGAACGGGACCAGCCACTTGTCGAATGCTTTTCCCGTTCCTCCTTTGACGGCTTCCATGAAGAGCTTGCAGAGGAGGTCATCTGTTGACCAGTTAGCCATAAAACACCAGTACTTGAAAGTAATAGGTACGAACTAGATATGAAGTATTCGAACCCCCGCTTCATAATCTCCGTCACTATAACCACCGCCACCGGCCGCCAGAAGTCGGGTTCATGAAGTTGTCCCCACAGAGCTACCATCGGCCCCTCCGTCAGGTGGATGAGCTTGTTGAAGACAGCAGCTGCAGCCTGCGCAACTCGTTCCATCATGTTGAAAGGAGGCATGACGGATAGGAGGGGGTGGTGGGAAATGAAGAGAGTGGCGAGAGACGGAGGAGTGTCGCAAGTGACAGAGGAGTATTGTAAGAGATGGAGGAGAGTTGTGAGGAGTAGAGAAGAGTGGTGAAGGACAGAATCTTACCAGCGGCTAGTACTATAAGCCACTCATTGTTTACCAGTGTCCAGAAGCAATCACATACCATCCGGCAATTATCACGATCAACGACTACAAGCTGCTACTCTTCGTCGCAATTACGTACTGTCCGGCAATTACCGCGAATACAAACTGCTGCTGTTAGTGGCAGTTGTATACTATTCAGTAATTACTACGGTCAAACAGTGCAAGCTGCTGCTCGCGGACGCGATCCGACTAATGTTTGCATGCAATCCGGTGCGCATCAACATCATAGTTTGCTTGTGACACTGAGAAGCCGTAGGAGGTTGGAATATTTTGGAACAAGTGTGTATTCAGGCGCTTCAAGTGGAATTTTCCAGTTCATACTGTGTGCGTACACGATTAGCACCTCTGGAGTAGTCGATATAGCGGAGACGGAACAGAAGCAAAGGCGGAATGCTGTATTGGCATTTATTTGTTTGTTACCCTCTATAATTCCCATGCAATCATAGCCGTAAGGCTGAGAATGGTTTCTAAAGCGCAAGGATTAAGTTTAATCTCCGCCATCCGAGTAGAATCCGTTATTCATGGAGAGCGAAATGATAGCCTAAAGTAGATGGCGAGTTCACCGTCACACGCTGTTGCGATAATTCTTATTATACTTTAACGAATTTTGTGTGCGAGCCCCTGGCAACGATAGGGCCCGGCTTGTCGTCCACGACCTTCCATATAGTTGTTGGCGGAAGCCGCCATACGGCACCTGGCAGGAGGACTAGACCGTATGTTTACTGTTAAGAGTCACGTGTTAATCACGTGATTACGCTAGCCTAGTGTATATAGCCAGAGCTCGCAGCTCTTATACAATTAATAATATTACACTCTACTTTATTACTTTAATAGGTTATAAGCCTAGAACTCTACTAACTACTATACTATAATAATTTACTTTACTCTTTATTATACTATAATAGCTTATTTATTCTATACTTTCTACTATTATTACTACTTATTTAGCTATACTACTTATCTCTATCTATTACTACTAGCTATAGTAAATTACTACTAGTACTATCTATTACTAAGCTATTTAGTAATATAATACTATTCTACTATTATTACTACTAATAGTAAATAACTTATATAAGTAGAATACTTTATCTTTCTACTTTTTCTTTCTACTATACTTTTCTATACTAGTAGATATTTCTCTATTATTATACTAGAAAGTCTTTTCTATAACCTCTATTATCTACTACTATAACTACTATTAGTAACTTCTCTTACTATATTAACCTTCTAGTTTAAGCTTAACTCTTTATTATTACTATAGCTTACCTTATAAGACAAAAACTATCTAGAATAGTAATTAGCTTAGTTAATTACCTTTTAATACGTAGACCTCTAGCCTATTATCTTAAAGAAAAAGGTAAAACTAATACTACTAGCTACTAATAAGACTACTATTATAATATAGAAGATAAATAATAATAAAGTAATAGTTATACTACTATTATTAGTTTATAATAACTTAACTAATATACTTTACTACTAAACTAGTTACTCTACTAAATAATCTAAAAATACTAAGCTCTTACTAAAAAGTTACTATTTTTATTATAAAGCTCTTTATAAACGCTTAATTAACTTTAGATAAATTCTAGATATAGCTTATACTCTATACTATTTAATAGAATCTAGAGCTAAGCTTATAGTACGCTATAGCTCTTTATAATATACTATAAAAGAAAGTTTATAATTAATATAATAGAGTTACTTTATAAAGTATAATAGTCTAGTTTAGAGATTTATCTTAGTTATATAATCTTAGGTTACGTAACCTTATTACGTAACCTAGTCTAGCGTCTTAACGCTTAGTATCTCTATATATAGAGCCTCTTAGAGCCTTTTCTCTACTTCTTATCTTTAGATAGCTAAATTTAACCTAACCTACTCTACTAGCACTCTATTCTTATAGCTTATAGAGATAGTACTACCTATAGCTAACTTATCTAGCTAGGTATTCTAGAATACTTATAGTAGTAGAGACTATAAAGCTAGCTCTTATATTATTTAAAAGTTAATACCTCTTTAGCTAGAAATAATAGTATAATATTAGGCTAAACTAAGTAGCCTTATAAGAAGCGTTTACTAATAGCTATACTAAGAATTAAAGCTATAAGAGTCTAGTTACTTACTCTAAGAATTAAAGCTATAAGAGCTCTAATTACTTACTCTTCTAGTACTATATAAGACTACTAGTAGATCTAGTTAGTAGTAGAAAAAATACTACTAGTAGTAAGCTAAAGAGAGCTATAAGAGCTCTATATATAAAAGAACTTCTATAGAACTTCTATGTATAGAAATCTTCTCTCTTATTTTAAAAATTAATAATTCTCTACTCTACTAGTAGAGCTAATAATTAGCTACTACGCTAGTAGTATATACCTCTACTTAAATAAGAAGTATTATAGAGCCTAAGCTATGCACTATATAGAGATAACTTATCTTATACTTTAAGATTACTATATAGAGAGAGCTAAGCTCTCTAGTTCTAATATAGTAATCTTCTTTCTTATTTTCTTTACCTAACTAAGTAACTTCTACTAAGCTTCTTCTATTTCTCTATAGTTATAAGCCTAGCGCTTTAAGAACGTAGAATAAGTTCTCTCTACGTACTTAAAGAGCTAGCTAGAGGCTACTTAGTTACTTTAGTTACTCTTATATTATTAAATAATACCTTCTATTTACTTACTCTATAAGTAAGCACTATAAGTAAAGCTCTCTCTACTAGCTCGTACTAGTTATATAATTATAATACCTAGCTATACTAGTATATCTAGCTCTAGTTCTACGTAATTAGTAAAGAACTATAGACCTAGATTAATCTAGAAGCTAAAGACGCTATAAACCTAGTAGATACTATACTAATAATCTTTATAATAAAGTTAATTACTAGCGAAGTACTAACTACTACGCTCTCTAAGAGTAGTAAGCGTAAGAGTATATAGAATATACCTACTCTAAGTATACTATCTCTTAATACGCTATACTAGTAAAGACTTAATAAGTATAGAGCGCTCTTAAGCAACTAGGCGTTATAGGTAACACGCCTCTAAACTCTATAGAACTAGATAAACGTAACTATTACTCTAGAGCTTCTTAGACTAGCTATAATAGAGCTTATATCTTAGAAGTATTTAACGCTATAAGCGCTTATACGCGTTCTAAAAAATAAGCTTACGCTAAGCTTAGTAAGCGTTTTAAATATAGTTTACGTAGAGTACTAAGCTTACTTAGAAAAGGTAAAGTAGAGTACCTATATATCTAAAAATTAATACTAATAGTAGTACTTTCTATATATTAAGGCGAAGACGTATAAGCTTATAAAAGTAGAAGGCTAGCTTACTATATAGAACTTTCTTAACACTCTTACTCTAAAGCTTACGCTAGAATAGGCTTAAGCTATATACTAAAAGGTTATCTAGAATAGCGTACTTAGCGCTAATAAGAAGCTTACTCTATAAGAGATTAGAAAAATCTTTACTATAATAATCTATAAATACTCTCTATAAGTATCTAATATAAACTCTAGTATATTTATAATACTAGGTAGA